GTGCCTGGATGGACCTCTCACACACGCACAGTGTTGGGCACCAAGTCACTCTGTAAAACTGTATAAAACCAAAATGTGTGCACTAGGCCCATTCCCTTCTGCTGCAGAAAACATCACTGCATGGTAAATGATTAATGGGAAAAGTATTGCACCACTGCCCTCTGAGCCTCCTCCAGCAGCGCCAATGCCAGCCCAGGACATGATGCTGCCTGACAACCAGGGCACAGATGTCATCTCCTCCCTTGCTGCCCAGCACCCAGAGCAGGATGGGAGGGACTCACAAGCCTTGGAGTCACTATTTCTCATCAAGAAATGAAGAATCCCTTCTCTGGGGAGGTGCTGTCATGTCCTCTCAAGAGGTTTCGAGGTGCAACCATGGCTTGCTTTCACCCATTTTTGTTGGAGACCTCCTGTATGGCTTTGGTTTGGAGAGGAGACTCACTCGGTGGCATGAGGTTGCTTGCTTGCCCCTCTCCAGATGTTTTCTCCACTGCCACTGCCTGACCCTCCAGAATGGACCATTATTGCCCTCGGGAAGACTTCAAGACCTCAACAAAGGCATGGGTTGTACCTCCTTGAAAATGGATAAAACATTAAACGTGTTCTGCAATTAACAGGCAGATGTATCATCCAACAGATTTATCATCCAGCATTTAAAGAACACTACTGTGGACAAATTTAACCCCCTCCACTCCGAGCTTGGGTGCAAAGGACGGCAGCTGATAGTGCTCCGAGAGGATTTGTGCTGCCACCACTAAAGATCACCTGAACAGCTGTGACATGTCATCCAAACACATTTGAGATTCTGACTTTGCCAGCAAAATGTCATTATGGTGGCAATATTATCGAATCATGGAATGGTTTGGGTTGGGAGGGACCTTAAAATTCTGACCCCCCCACCCCTGGGTAAGGACACCAACATGCAGTGGTGTGGATGCTAAAAATAAATTGTTTTCTGATGTTTCGTCTGGCTTCTCCATGACTACTTAGTAGCATGAGGAAAACATTTTAGCAGGGATTCCAGCTGATTTCATCTCTCTCTAACTAAGGAAGGGAAGCAAACATGGCCTTAAATAAAAGGATTTACTGAGTGGGGGAGTCTGTGAAACAGGATTGTTTCAGCAGAGGTGGAGATGGGAAGTCCAGTGTGTGTCAGGCAAGAGCTAAAAGGATGAAATGGACCCATTTCCATTGCAGAAGGGGTAAAAAAACAGAGCAGGCTTTGTGGGGAGTCACTGTCCTACCACAAAAATCCTCGAGAGCATTTCCTAGGGGCTCCAGGGAGCTTGCCTGGCAGTGGATGACTTGGCTAGAAAGCAACATGGAAGACATGAGAAACATGATCATTTGTAGTGATAAACACATGATCTTCTCCTTCCTATTATAGACTACACTTTCAGAGAATGTGCCCAAAATGAGCAGGTCTAAAATTAAAATACGACGAAGGCAACAAGTCAATGGTAACAACTCTCTGACTTGAAATGGGTTAGCAGCTGGGATTTCTTGCCTTCCTCCCAAATCTCCCTAAATATAAGCACCTGAAGGGACTTGAGGGGCCCAACGGGACCACATGTTCTTTGCAGATTTCTCCCAGGGGCAGGACAACCCCACTGAGCCGTGGCCCCAGGCTTGAGGCCATCCTGAATCTCCTCCAGCAAGAGCCTGCCAAATCCCATGAGGACGCCTCATTCCTCCTCTGTGAACTTACTGCAGTGTGACCTCACGAAGGTGGTATTTACATCACGTGTTATGTCTGTGAGAAGCAGCTGCGGAGAGGCGTTTGGCTGTCAGGAAGCTTCACGTTGCCGATGAAGTTTCGGGATGCAGCAGCTTCAGTTGTGTCTTCCTGTTGGATCTTCCCGATCCTGTCACCCCAACCTGCAGCCCACTAATACAAAACAAAGCAGTGGGTCCAATTTTTTTCTGCTGGCTCCCTTAAAGGCAGCACTGAAGACATGGCAGCACAGAGGGCTGCTCCACCCTCAGAGTGCTTGGCAGCACCACCATCAAGGGATACACTTCTGCCAGTCAAACCACAGGGGCCCAGAAAAGATCTGCTGGCCTTGAGAATTTTTACATGCTTGAGAACAGGTGATGTTTTGTTCCTTACTCCAATAGTGGTGTAGGTAATCCTGCACATGCCTGGGAAGGTGGTGGTGGTCTGCTGGTAAGGGACACAACCGTTGCAAGAAATAAAATGGAAGTGGATTGATTTTATGCATTTCAGGGGGAAAAAAGGGTCACTTGGACACACAGGGGTTGGTCTTCTGCTTGGTTTTGCAGCACTGCAGGACTAGGAGTTGGCTGAAAGCACCATTCCCTCTCTGGGACAAAGTCCACTGTGCTGCTGCACATGTGCTTGTGAGCACGGGCTTCGTTTTCCCTCAGAAACCAGCTGGTTGGGTAACTGTGTAAGAAAAAATATTCAGAAATGTCCTGAATTGGAAAACAAAAGTCACCTCTCTGCAGGGGACATTGGTAGGGAGAGAGCTGTGAAAAGCTGGGGCTGCTGCAGAAGTCCAGGCACAGTCCCTGGTACGCTGGAGCGCAGGGCTGCTGGACAAACACGACATTGAATGATGCAAGTGGGTTTTTCCTGTGTACTTCTTGTCCTTATTTAACCTAGGGATTAATGTGTGCGTATGTGTTAGGAAACTCAGCAGTTAGAAGGAAGCTCAGATTTTGTTTTGTTCTGCTTTTTTTCCTCTTTAAATTTATTGATAGCACGTGGTTAATACAGAACTGCAGATACAAGAAATAGACATAGAGATAGTCGTTAAGTACGTATACAGTCAAAGTATTTTTTGTGATCTGTGGGGATAGGAGATGGACATTTTAGCACAGATAAATTTACTGTTCTAATTTGTGGTTAAATTGACCTATAACTAAGGATTAACCTTCTCTTTCACCTTAAGGTTCTGCTGCTGTTCAACTCCATAAGAACATTACATAATTCCCTTTTCATTCAGATTCTAAGGTTACCTTAAATTAAACTTACCTCTAAAATTAAATACTGAAATTCTGTACACCTCATTGCATGAATCATAAACTACTGTACTCAGGCATGTGTCCCTTAACTACTTGAAGGCATTCCCTGTTGTGATAATCTGGGATTTTGTATTAAGACATGTCGGTAGTTTCAGTTCCTCCCTCATGACAGAGAGGAGACCAGACAACTTCAGCCCTAGAAACGGTCTGTCAGGAACCTGACAAAACCCAGAAAAGGCAAATGCCATAGATGGAGATGGAGCCAGGCTCCTCTTGGAGGTGTGCAGGGGAAGTATAAGGGCAGGCAATGGGCACAAGGTGAAAGATGAGAAGTGTCAGTTGGATATTAAGTAAAAATATGTTCTCTGTGAGGGTGATCCAATGATGGAGCCCAGTGAGGCTGTGGGATCTCTGTTTTGGGAGATGAAAACCTTGGCCCTGAGCAACATGATCTAGCAGAGGCTGGAGGAGGGACCTCCAGAGGTTGTTGTTGGCCTCTGCTTTTCTGCAGATCTATGACTCACTAGAAAAAACCCATGGTCTATTGGTGGAGAAACCAGAGATAACAATTCCTTTAGTCTTGTTCTTAATCCACGTTTGTTTTTTTAACATTGCCAGGTTCACCATGCCCCAGTGCATGGCCCTTCTTTCTGTATGTGTAACATTTAAGACCTAACTACTGGCCGGTCAAACACCTCTTCATGCTCCACTTGGCCAAATGGAGTGACTTGGTAACCATCTCTCTTCCCCCCACCTCCAGCTGCCAGTTGGTCACCAAAGCCCTCCTGAGACGTTTCACCAAACCCACAGGAGGAGTCACCAGCAGTGCTAGTCCCTAATCCTCTGGTATAGGAAGTTTTGATGTTAGCATCGCCAGCCAGCCTCACTGGGGCAGCGAGGGAGGCTCATCCAGTGGCTCAGTCCCATCCCTTCCAGACCTCCAGACCCACGTCAGGCCCCCATTGCCAGCATTCCGAGGTCCACTATCATGCTCCTGGTTGCAGGGGACCTGCTTGACCATGGATGCAGATGCTGGGAGCTGACTGAACCTGGCTTGGTGCTGTGACACTCTCCCCACCTGGGATTGCTGGCTGGACACACAGATGTCCAGCCGCGGTCACTTTGTCTCAACCAGGTCCCAGATCCAGCCTTGAGTATGTAGGGGAGAAAGGGGAAAGCTCTCACCCCGCTGCAGGCATAATGAGCTGTTTTTCTCCTGTGTCTCCAGAGCTTGGCTCCCAGCCCCGAAAGGAAGAGCACTGTGCCAAGAATTTCTACAGCCATGTCCAACAGAGCAAGCTGACACCTGATTTGCTGTTAATTATAGTGGTGGGAACAGGCCCAGGGGCAAATGTGAAAGGGTGACGACCGGGTGGTGGTAAGGACAAGGCTCATCTGTCGTTTGCCATAAGGGCTTGTCCTGAGGGATTTGTTTCCTATGAAATATCAGTAGGAAGACTTTGAGCGTGCAGAGAAGCAGCTGACAGGACAGGGCCTATAGAAACCTCTAGCTGGTCAACACCTCCAGCACCTCCAGACCAAGGAGGGCTTCGTTATTCCAAATGACATTATCCTACCCTCAGACTCGCATCGGGAGCGCCGTGCATGCCGTGTGCATGCCAGCGTGCCACCAGGCACCAGGCGCTGCAAAATTCCTGCAAGAAGGGAGTTAAAAATAGACACTGAGTTATTCCAGAGCTTTTGTCCAGCCTATCTGTGGACAAAATAACCCCCATACCCTTGTGGCACCTGAGCAGCTCCAGCTATTCCCATCACCACTGAACGCCCCCAAACCAGGAGACCTGCCCTTGCTGCCTCTACTGTGTTCACTGTTGGCTACGCTACAAAAGCACTGTTCAAGAATCCTGCAGGTCCAAGGGGGAGCACCCGAGACCTCTGGACCGTCCCCACTGAGGTTGTTAACAGGAGATTTTTAGGTGCAACCAGGCTTGTTTCTGACTCAGTGGCTTTCAGCTGTTGCTGCAAAGGTGTGCTGTGTGTCCATGCTTTAAACATGGAAAAGTAAGAGAGAGAGAGAAAGGCATAGAATAAAAAAATATTTTATTTTATTTTAATCTTTATTGTAAAAACCAGGGTTCTCCCTGCCCCATGCCCTGCTTGCACAGCCACTGTTCAACTACACACGGTTATATGTTGGAATAAAATGTGTTTTAAAATAAAATAAAATAAAATAAATAGTGGATTTTTACACCTTTTTAAACACTCGGGAAAGATTTCAGACGAATGTAGTCACAGGTCTCTGCACCCCATGTTGGCGTCCTGTGGTATCACAGACTGGTGCCTCAGGGATATTTTTTAATTATGCAATTTGAAAGCTTTGATCTGTTTGGTGCTATTAAATCTGTTAATGCTCTATGTCCTCCCAGGCTGATGCCCGAGCACGGGTTGTTTGAACTTGGCTGCTCCCCAGCCCGCAGAGACAGTTCAAAGGGAAAGCAGGAGTGGGACCGATGGCACTCGCTGATGAGCCCTTGCTTGTTTAGGAAATAGTGCAAATGGGTGTTGGTCACAGGAAACAAAGCTCCGGAGCGACCGGGAATGTGTCAGGTGGCTGGTGCGCTCGCCGGACAAACAGGAGCTGTCGGAGCTCAGGTGCAGCGTGCCCTGTGTGCCCCACCCAAGAGGGCTGAGAGGTTGATTTTTACCGTTTCCCAGTCGCTCACTGGAAAAATAAAAAAGAAAAATTACAATCTATAACTATATATATATAATATAGATTTTATAGACTGTGTAAATATGTGTATTTATAATATAAATTTATAAATATTTAATATATGTAAATGCCTAAGATATACAGAACATGCAATTATATATTAATGATACATTAATATATATTTGATAGACATATATGTTTTTATACACACATACACACATCTACATATATGCAGATCCTTGGAGATCCATGTTTGCTTTGCTGGATGCCCAGATACATCTCCTGGGATTATATGTATATAACATAAATTCTTGGATTTCTAAATGTATATTTACATTGTAGAAAAAGCTGTAAATATATATTTATATAATGTAGAAAAATATATCATGTGTGGATAATATACGTAAGATATAGAAATCATATATACATATTACTACGATATTTATATTATGTGTATTATGTGTAGATATCATATGTATATTACACATATATTTGTAGCATATATCATTATTAAATATATATAATTAACTGAGAAATTGCCATAAAGCACCTGTGTCACTATTTATACTATTTAGACCACAACAAAAAAGTTTTTCTCTATTATTTCCTAGTCAGTAAATTAAAATGTTCACACCTTGGCTTTCCAAGTGCCTCCTGGCCATATTTCCTTGGCATTTGCACTGTGTCTTTTCCCCCACAAATGCCCAGATTCCTATTATCTGCTGACCCTGCTCAGCTCGAACGAGTCAGTTAATTGGCAATAAATGAAGTGACTGAAAAACAGACAGAGGAGAGAAGGAAAATAAATGTCCTCAGTGGGAAACTTAATAAGGAATGCTTAAGAAGAAATAAATGAGAGTGAGATGCAAGGATGATGCTGGGTATCCATAAGGGCTTTTCCACCTCCCCTTGCCACCACCCACTTGCAAACCAGAAATGAGCCCACCCAAAAGATGACTCCCAGCCAAAAACTGCCAGTGCTGAGCCAAAAGTGGGATGGGGAGAAGGGATGGAGTAAGGCGAGGACAGGACCAGTTCTTTTGGCAGCGTCTTGCATTGGCGTAAACTTCTCTGTTGACAAAACCAAAGGAAATCATGATAATTTTATTTATTTATTTATGACACACATTTATGAGGCAGTTTATTTTTGAGCCATAAAACCAGGCGGTGGTTTGGGTTTGGTGCCTTGATTCCAATAACAAGTTGTTACTTCGTGATGCAGTCCAGCCTGATGTTCCTGGAAGATGCGGAACCGCCTGGGTGAAATGGTGACATCAGGCATGGGGGAGGAACAAAAGTTTAATTTTCATTTGGGCCCTTTTGAATTGTTTTTGGCATTTCTATGTCTACTTAACCCAAAATGTTGGTGCAGATGGATGGGCTGCCAGCATGTTGCTCCCTGAGCGTTCCTGGCTGGTGTTTCAGGAGCAGCAGCCTCGGGAGGCTGCAAACCTCTCCTTCATTTTAATACAGCTCTAGGGCAATTAAGTGTTTTTTTGGTTTTGTGCTGCACAGCCTCTCCTCCATCCATCCTCCAGCTGATGCCTGCCAAAGGAGTCAGGAGAAGTTGCTGGGGCGTGGACTGACCTTATCAGCCCAACAGCTTTATTTCCTTCACCTTCCTAAAAGGACACTGCCAGAGCTCTGAGGACTCAAGAGTTTTACCAAAATTTGCTGGTTTTGGTTACCTTCATCCTAAGCAACACAGTGATGTGACTGACACCATTGGCACTCAGTCTTGATTATTCCCTTACTTCCACAAAACTCAGTGAAGGAGGGAGGGTTTTCTCCTGGTTTCACCACAGTAAGACAGGTCACTGGAATTAGTTTTATTGCTGGCAGATAAAAAGTTTATTACCCCATAAATGATGCCTGTAATTATCCTGTAATTACCCAGGACAGCTATACAAAAGTTGCTCTGGTCTTATCTGGAGAACATCTATGTTGTGTTCTTGGCTGGCAGGTGTTGGATGTGGGATCATAGGAGAGCTGAGCTGTAGGAATGGAGCAACAGGTTTAAATCAAAGCATTTTAATTACCAGTGCAAGGACAGGAGCAGGGCTGCTCTTGCACTGAAGATAACAGCAAGCTCCCATCAATGTCTGGAGAAAAGGCTCAGGACTTTGCTGAAGTCCTGAAGTGAAGCCAGGACGTTTTTCCTGCTGGTGAATCTGGGACAGAAAGAGAAGCATCTTCGCTGATGTCGAGAAGACAGCATGCAGCGAGCCACTGCACCCATCTGGCAGTACAAAATGCAAAGGGATGCTCCCAGGTCAGGTGGACTGGGATGAAAAATTTGCAGAGCACTTTAGGTCTTTGCACTTTTGATTTTCTTAAAAAGCTAAGGAACAGGTAGAGGCAGAGGGGAGTTGTCTCACCCCAAAATGGACAGGCTAATCCTGGGAGTTGCCTGGTTTTTCCCAGAGACCGTATAGGGAGCTTTAGCCAGGAAGGATGAAGGCAGGGCTGCCTGTGCCTCCCACGCATCCGCCTCTTGAAACTGGATTTCAGCAGCATGTTCCCATGCCAATTCCCATACCCCTCTCCTCATGGTAAACGGGCACTGGTCTGTGAAGGTAAAAAACCAGGGCGGTGCCATTTACCTGCGGGGTGCTGGGTGTTATTTACAGCAGGTAGGGGGCACGGGGGTTTCTGCCATAACTGGGTGTCACCGCCGAGCAGAGGGAAGCCCAAGCACCTCTGGGAAATGTCTGCAGGCAAAACGGAGAAAACATTTGTCGAAGAGGGAAATCACAGCCTAGCTCAGGAGTGACACTTGGCCTTAGGCACCTCTGTGCTTGCCAAGGGCGCTGCACCAGTGTGGCACCTCCCCAGCACTGAATGTGGCCCAGGTACCTCCCCAGCACTGAATGTGGCCCAGGCACCTGGGGTGGAAAGCCAGGGGTGGAGATGCTTTAAGTCACGATACACTCAACAAGTCAGAAATATTACAGAACCACACAGGGTCACAGAATCAATCAGGTTGGGAAAGACCTCTGAGATCATCGATTCCCACCCATAACCAGTCACCACTATGTCCGTCAGACCCTGTCACTGAGTGCCACGTCCAGACTTTCCTTAAACATCTCCCGGGACAGTGACTCCACCACCTCCCTGGGCAGCCCATTCCAGTGTCTAATCACCCTTTCCGTGAAGACATTCTTCCCGATGTCCAGCCTAAACCTCCCCTGAGGCTGTGTCCTCTCGTCCTGTCGCCGGCTGCCTGGGAGAAGAGGCTGATCCCCACCTGGCTGCACCCTCCTGTCAGGGAGCCGTGGAGAGCGATAAGGTCGCCCCTCAGCCCCCTTTTCTCCAGGCTAAACGTGTCCAGCCGCCTCTCACAACACTTGCACGCCAGACCCCTTCACCGAGTCTCCTTTAATCGCGGCTGTCGCGACAGAGCCACGCTCGCCGCCGCGGCCCCTCACGGAGGGCGCAGCCCCGCCCACTTCCGGCGCGAGGGGCCCGCCGGGACGGGCGCGGGCCCCGCCCCCGCCGCGGGGGGAGGGGGAGGGCGGGGCCCCGCCCCCCGCCCGCGGTGCCGCAGGACGAGGTGGGTTCGGCGGGG